AGGAGGAGGAGGAGGAAGAGGAGGAGGAGGAGGAGGAGGGAGGAGGGAGGAGGGAGGAGGGAGGAGGGAGGAGGGAGGAGGGAGAGGGAGAGGGAGGAGGAGGAGGGGAGGAGGAGGAGGGAGGAGAGGAGGAGGGAGGAGGAGGAGGGAGGAGAGGAGGGAGGAGGAGGAGGGAGGAGGAGAGGGAGGAGGGAGAGGGAGGAGGGAGAGGGAGGAGGGAGAGGAGGAGGGGAGAGGAGGAGAGGAGGAGGAGGAGGAGGGGAGGAGAGGGGAGGAGGAGGAGGAGGAGGAGGAGGGAGGAGGAGAGAGGGGAGGAGGAGGAGGAGGAGGAGAGGAGAGGAGGAGGGAGGAGGAGGAGGAGGGAGTGAGGGAGGAGGGAGGAGGAGGAGGAGGGAGGGGAGAGGAGGGAGGAGAGGAGGAGGAGGAGGAGGAAGGAGAGAGAGTAGAGAGTGAAGGAGGAAGGTAAGAAAAGGAGGGAGAGGAAAAAGAGGGAGGAGAGTAAGGAGAGAGTAAAGGAGTGAGAGTGAGTGAGAGGAGAGTGAGGAGAGTGAGGAGAAGTAGAGAGGAGGCAGGTTTTTGATGAGGAGGATGGAAGAAGAAGTAAAAATGAAGAGTGAGTGAAGAAGTATATGTTAGTAGTTAGAATAAGATATAACAGACTACTAGACGAAATACTACGTACTATACCACACATACTACTATACTACACTACACTACTCTACACATACGACTACATTACTACTACATACTACTACATACTCACTACTACTCTATTACACACTACATACTACACTACTACTACTACACTACACTAACTATATACACATACACACTACAATTACTACACACTACTATATCTACTACACTCATACTACACACTCTCTATATACTACTCACACTCACATATTATACTCTACCATTACTACTACTACACACTACATATACTACACTATTATACGCTACTACTACTATTCTACACTATATATACCTACACTCCACTTTTTATCTACTACACTACTACACACTACATTACTATACTACACTATTATACTACACTACATACACTACTATCAGTACACTACTATTTATTACTATACACTACACATATTACACCTACACTACACTACTCATTACTCTACTACCTATATTCTACACTACTATACATTACACTACTACACACATTATTACTACACTACACTATTCACTACATTATTACTACACTACACTCTATACTCACATTATTACACTACTATTATTATTACTACTACTACACCACTACTCTACTCTACACTTTACTACACACACTCACTAATTATTACTACTACTACTACTACTACTACTTTATTCTACTACTACTATACACATTATTACACTACTACTATTCTACTACTACTACTACTACTACTACACACTACACTATACACTACTCTATTACTACCTACTTACTACATTATACCACACAACACTACTACTATACTACACTATACTACACATACTACACAACTACACCTACACATACACTACACATACTCACTACACACTACTACATACTACTACACTACATTACTCATACACTATTATACACACTACTATACTACACTACTACTACATTTACTACTACTACACTATATACACTACTACTACTACTATTACTACACTCTACTATTATTATTACTACTAACAACTCTCACACACACTTAACACACACTATTTTACACACACATACACACTATTATATTACTACTACTATATACACTACATTTTTTACACATACTACTACTACACACTACACTACACTACTACACTATTATACACAACTACACTTACTACACACTACTTAACACACTACTACTTACACCTACTATTATTACACTACTACTACTACATACACTACTATTATTACACTACTATTTTATTCCACTACACTACTCCCACTACTACTATACTACACTACTCTACACTACATATTATTACACTCTACTCTTATACACTACTACATTACACACACTACACTACTATATATAACACTTCATATTTACTACACTACTATACTACACTACTCTCACTACATTAAATTACCACTACTACTACTACTACACTAAACCTACTACATTACTATCTACTACACACTACACACTACTACTACATATATACTACACACTACATTATACTTACACTAGCTACTACACACACTACTATACTACTACTACACACTACAAATTTACTACTACTTTTCTACACAACTATTACTACTACACTACACACTACTACCCTCCCTACCCCTCCCTACCCCTCCCTCCCCCCCCTACCCCCCCCAACCCCCCACCCTCCTCCTACCCCCCTCCTCCCCTCCCTCCCCCCCCCTACCCCTCCCCACCCCCCACCCCTCCTCCACCCCTCAACCCCCCCCTACCCCCACCCCTCCTCCCCCCCCACCCCTCCTCCTACCCCCATCCTACCCTACCCCTCCCCTACCCTACTACTCCTACTCCCTACTCCCCACTCCTCCCCTCCTACCCTCCTCCTCCACTCCCCCTCCCCTCCGCCACCCTCCTCCCCTCTCCTACTCCTCCCCCACTCCTCCTCCTACCCTCCTACACTCCCCCTCCACGCCTCCACTCCTCCTACTACTCTCCTCCCCACGTCCTCCTACTCCCTCCCCCTACTCCTCACTCCTCCCCTACTCCCCTCCTCCCCCACCTCCACCCCCTCCTCCTCCCCCCCCCTCCTCCCCCCCTCCTCCATAACCAACCGCCACCCCCCCTACCCCCCCATCCAATTCCCCCACCTTTTCCTCCCCACAGCACCTCCACCAAATGCAGCGCCACACCCGGGGAGCCTGCGACTTCGAAAACAAACGCCACCCTTAGAAATTGCGGGTACACCCGACAACTGTCCGACTTTTGTCAATCCACCCCTGTCTATCGTCAGCTCTGTCTCGGAGCCCAAGCGTGTCATAAGGAAAGTAGGAGGGAAGGAAGATGACACACACCATTTACCAGGAAACACATAACACAACTGCCTGCTAATACTTTGCAGAAAACGCTCAAGAAGATGTTTTGGGCCCTTTGACATAAAAAAAAAAGTCCACAAAATGCACACACACTGGGTTTTTTGTGTGAGGAGTGTAAAAACACCACTGTGTATGACACCATGTTTTATGTGTGAGAGTGTAAAACAAACCCTTGTGTATGACACCATGTTTTATGTGTGAGAGTGTAAAACACCATTGTGTATGACACCATGTTTTATGTGTGAGAGTGTAAAACACCACTGTGTATGACACCATGTTTTATGTGAGAGTGTAAAACACCACTGTGTAGACACCATGTTTCACAGAGTTCCACAAGCTGCAGAACTTCTAGGAGTATGTTCAGTGACTGTATATTGGTATAATATTATAGAACAATAGTAATAAACAATTTTTTGTATTGTTTTTTTTTTGTAAACAAGTTTTTGTAAACAAATATTGAAAATTATGTTTGTGTGCTTATTGTGTTGTAACGAGGTATAATTACTTTGCACCTTTTTTTGGGTCTCACGGCCACATAAGTTAGTAAAAAATAAAATAGTGAAAAAAACAACAAACCTTCAATACAAGTAAACCAAAGTTTTACCTGGTGAGCACAGTCGCCGCTGTTGCCATCACGACTCTTTTTTCTCAAACTTCACAACTCATATGTCCTAAGTGCTGAGGAAAATTTTTTTTTTTTTTTTGACTAAAACACTCAAAAAATAATCTAACATTTTCTAAGAAAAAAAATTTTTTTTTTTTTCGAATATTTGCGACATAGAATGACGTTTCAGAGAGGGGCCTGAAACAGTAAAAGGGTTTTAAATTCCAATTTTTAACCTTACCTAAAAGTTTTCTTGATAGTTTGACGGGATCCACAGGCATAACCCCAGACACAAACTCTCTAACATTCCCGGGTTTTCACTAAACCTTTATAAAAATTCAATGTATTTCAAAGGACCAAAAATCTGGAACACCCTACCTGAAAACTCTAGAACTCAGCATTTTCACACTTTCAAAACTAATTAGAAAACATCTATCTCCCTTCCACCCCGAAAACTAAACTTGATAACCACCTGGGGTTCCAAAATTCCCTCCCACCCACTGACTAAAAAGTCAGAATACTAATCTTAAAATAAAAATCCAAATTAGTCATAAGTTTGCCTATAAACCCAAATAGAAAACTTGTATTGTCCAAAACAAAAGCTTTCAATTGCTAAACCCCAAAAATTTTATGATCACTTAGCCTTAATACCAAATCCTCGAAATCCCTACCCATGTAGTGTCCTAGGGGCCCCCTCTGAATTAGTAAAACCTACCACCCCACTTACACCCTGTTTTATGCCACCGATTACAACCCTTTTTTTAAAAAAAAAAAATTTTGAAATAAAAAACTATTTTGTGTGTACCAGTGTTTATCCTAAACCACAGTATAAAATACATACTAACAGCAAAAAAAGAAAAAGTAAAACATGAAAAACCAAAATAAAACAATAAAAAAAGTTATTACAAAAATGTATGTTGATATTCATAGTAATTCGCTGCTCCATTTCGATTACACCGGGTTTTCCCCTCGGAGCCGAACTCAGTCGTAAGCGGATGGTAGGGTATTTTATAACAGTAAACCACACAAACCCAAAACCTGTAACCCCCCCATTTTTAACCCTTTTAAAAAAACTTTAATTTAAATTTAATTGAATTATTTTTTTTGACACAGACTTACCCTACCTTCCAATAAAGCTGACCTCGGCCATAAATGGGAAGGAAAGAAGGGGGAGTACACCACTGTAATAATCTGAGTTTTTTTTAAAGCCCCGGGTAAGTGGAATAAACTTGCAGTCCCATAGATGGGGGTTTAAACAGCTTTTTTTCTCACAAGCGTTAACACCTCAGTGTTTTCATATCTGCTAAGGAAATTTGATAATGTTCATTAAAAATTCATTTTCCTCCGAAATTACTGACTAAAAGATAAAAACAATCTACTCACTTGTTTTGCTATTGCTTTGTTGTCTACCTTGGAGTACATTTTTCTGATCTTATTCAATGTGAGATGAGATATGGCTGTAGCATTCAAACCAAATATAACTTTTTCTTCAGGAACAACAGCAACAAACTGTACACTCTGGCTATCAATACCTGTAAAAATAAAACTATGAAATAATAAATCATTTTTAATTCCTACTGCCACAATGATTTTTTTTAATACATCAGTTATCTCCCACCAAGATAGGGTCACCTGAAAAAGAAGAAACACTTTCACCAGCACTCACTCCATCACTGTCTTGCCAGACTCACACCAATACTACAGTTCAGATACCCCTCCAAACTGAAAATATCCCCATCCCAACTTCAGAGTGCAGGCACTGTACTTCCCACCTCCAGGACTCAGCTGGTTAACCAGTTTTCCTGAATTCCTTCTAAATGTTGCCTTGCTGACACTTGAACAGAACGTTAAGTCATTAAAACCACTTACCTCCATTCACTCCTAATATGCTCACACACACCTGCAGGATATTAAAATCCCTCACATAAAAACCCCTTTTAACCCCCCTCTGCAACCTTTCCCAGGACAACCCCACCCCACCCTTCCTTTCCCTACAGATTTATACACCCTCTAAGTAATCTGATTATGCTCCATTCTCTTAATCTCCAAACCACCTCAACAACCTCAGCCCTCTGGATAATACTGTACTTTTAATAACCCTGCACCTCCCCCTAATCTTCAAATTATGAATTTTATGCAAAATATTTACACCATACATTGCCATCAGACACAACAACTCCACTGTTTCTAGCCTCTTCCTCACTGCAACATTAACAACCCATGCTTCACATCCATATAAGTGTTGGTACCATTATATACTCATACATTCCTCTGTTTGCCTCCATGGATAATTTTCTTAGTCTCCACAGATGCCTCAACGAACCACCTACCTTTTTCCCCCTTAACTATTCTAAGGTTCACCTCATCATTCATATACCCATCCATTGACAAGTGGACACATTCACTTCCTCCATACTTCTTCCTTCTAACTGGATATCCAATAGTTCATTACCTAAATTTTTGTTACCTTTATCCTCTTGCTCTTTCCTATTCACTTTTAATTTTCCTCTTTTATATTTTTTTTAACACATCAACCATTTCCCACTGTTTCCCAAATTCATTCACCAACTTTTGCAACTACTCTTCAGAATCTCCCAAAAGCACATTGTCATTGTTAAAAAGCAATTGTTACAACTCCCACTTTGTATTAAATTCTTTATATTTTAACCCCACACTTCTCCCCAACACCCTAGCATTCACTTCTTTTACAACCCCATCTATATGTTAAACAACCATGGTGGCATCAAGCATCCTTGTCTAAGACCTAATTTTACTGGAAAATAAAGCTCTCTCTCCTACATACCCTAACATAAGCCTCATTATCCTCATAAAAACTCTTAACTGCTTTCAGTAACCTGCCACCTATTCCATACAATTACAACATCTGCCACATTTTTATTTCGGAAGATTCTTTAGAGTTCTGCTAAAGTTTAAGCTGAAAATTTGAAATTGGCACACCACCCACAGCCCCCAAAAATTCATAAATTCAGGACTCAACTATATATATCTAGAGTGGAACCCTGTGCTAGATAACTGCAAACATACCAGGAATTTGTGCTGCCTGTAGGCAACCTGTATAGTGTGGCCCAAGCTGGTGCAGTTGATTTACCATCTGTGGCTGTAGCACATCCTCAACCAGGTGGCAACACCCTTGCTTCCACACCAGCTTAGAGTGTCTTCTGTATGCTGGAGGAGTGCCAATGTAGGCATAGACAGATGATGCAATGGTAAGATTGGCAGCTCCTCCACCAGGATTTTGCAGGATATAGTGTAGTTTCTTTTGAGTCACAAGCTGGCCATCAATGTAGATTGAAAGGGATGAATTTTTCAGAACAGAACGACTGAGTGAGACAGTCAAGTGATGCCACTGACCCTCGGTTAACAAATCAGGACACCAAACACGACATCCAAAGTCTCCTACAACTTCAGGTTCCCATTCTGTTACACCTACAATACAAATGAAAATATTAAATATATTATAATGCAACTTTTTATATAACAATTATATCATAATAAAAATAATCTGAATAACTTACCTTGCCCTGGTTGAGGAAAATTTGTTTCATGAGTAGACACAATAAGTGCTTTATCTCTCGCAGAAATAACAATAGAGAGGCAGACAAGGTGATGATCCCGGCCAGGAACATGTCGAATTAAAGTTAATACACGTACACAGTGAGGATCTGTTCTGGGATCACTGTACTTTTCAACACATACCCATGTACTGTATGTTAAGCCAGTCTGTGGTGGAAAAATTCTGTCCCCTGAAAAAAGATAAATATAGCAAAAATAAATGAAAATGTACATTATTTTCTTTTGAAAAAAAAAAAATTGAACAGAAAAGCCATTCCTTTAAATTCACTGTAAAAACTGTAAGCCTGTGGAAGATGCCCAACATGTATGGAGGTAAAGGACTGTTGGTCATGTAGTGAGGAGGCTTTATTAAGGAATCAGAATGCATGTTAGAATTACAGCCTCTCTTCACTTACTCGGAGTTATGATGGGCTCTCTGACGAGTCGGTATTGCATGCAGCTTGAGAACTTGGGCCATGGAACTGGGCAGCGCGGTATCTCAGCATCAAACATCTCAATCTCCTTCCTACAGCCACTCAGTACACTAGCTTTCACAGTCTCCAAGATTACATATTTGTACAAATTTATACTTTATTGTGCACCCCATAGTACAAGATAGAGTTAGAAGTGCAGCAGAACTTGGAAGAAGAAAAACAAGAGGAAAATGGAAGAAGTACAAAAGAAGTTTGTAGTAAGGGTGTTAGCTGGTGTGTTCATCTGTGTTTACATTTTCTGCATCTCTCATGGCAGCTTAAGAAATAATTAAACTCAGTGAATAAGGGATGTCGATCATAAAAATAATAAATATTAATTAATTAATTAATAATAATAATAATAATAATAATAATAATAATAGCTCTAGAACACTTTAAATGTCATATGTATTTTTTATATGTTTGGTAGCTGGCATTTAAAGCACTCCAGAGAGATTGTTATTTAATATTATCATCATCATCAACATCAGAGCGATTCTTATTTATTATTACTATCATTATAGTGGACCCTCCGTTATCGGCCGTAATCTGTTCAAGAAGCTCGGCCTAAAACCGAAAAGGCCAAAAACCGAAATAATATTTCCCACAATATTTTTTTTTTTTTTTATCATCACACTGGCCGATTCCCACCAAGGCAGGGTGGCCCGAAAAAGAAAAACTTTCACCATCATTCACTCCATCACTGTCTTGCCAGAAGGGTGCTTTACACTACAGTTTTTAAACTGCAACATTAACACCCCTCCTTCAGAGTGCAGGCACTGTACTTCCCATCTCCAGGACTCAAGTCCGGCCTGCCGGTTTCCCTGAACCCCTTCATAAATGTTACTTTGCTCACACTCCAACAGCACGTCAAGTATTAAAAACCATTTGTCTCCATTCACTCCTATCAAACACGCTCATGCATACCTGCTGGAAGTCCAAGCCCCTCGCACACAAAACCTCCTTTACCCCTCTCTCCAACCTTTCCTAGGCCGACCCCTACCCCGCCTTCCTTCCACTACAGACTGATACACTCTTGAAGTCATTCTGTTTCGCTCCATTCTCTCTACATGTCCGAACCACCTCAACAAACCCTTCCTCAGCCCTCTGGACAACATTTTTGGTAATCCCGCACCTCCTCCTAACTTCCAAACTACGAATTCTCTGCATTATATTCACACCACACATTGCCCTCAGACATGACATCTCCACTGCTTCCAGCCTTCTCCTCGCTGCAACATTCATCACCCATGCTTCACACCCATATAAGAGCGTTGGTAAAACTATACTCTCATACATTCCCCTCTTTGCCTCCAAGGACAAAGTTCTTTGTCTCCACAGACTCCTAAGTGCACCACTCACTCTTTTTCCCTCATCAATTCTATGATTCACCTCATCTTTCATAGACCCATCCGCTGACACGTCCACTCCCAAATATCTGAATACATTCACCTCCTCCATACTCTCTCCCTCCAATCTGATATTCAATCTTTCATCACCTAATCTTTTTGTTATCCTCATAACCTTACTCTTTCCTGTATTCACCTTTAATTTTCTTCTTTTGCACACCCTACCAAATTCATCACCAATCTCTGCAACTTCTCTTCAGAATCTCCCAAGAGCACAGTGTCATCAGCAAAGAGCAGCTGTGACAACTCCCACTTTGTGTGTGATTCTTTATCTTTTAACTCCACGCCTCTTGTCAAGACCCTCGCATTTACTTCTCTTACAACCCCATCTATAAATATATTAAACAACCACGGTGACATCACACATCCTTGTCTAAGGCCTACTTTTACTGGGAAATAATTTCCCTCTTTCCTACATACTCTAACTTGAGCCTCACTATCCTCGTAAAAACTCTTCACTGCTTTCAGTAACCTACCTCCTACACCATACACTTGCAACATCTGCCCACATTGCCCCCCTATCCACCCTGTCATACGCCTTTTCCAAATCCATAAATGCCACAAAGACCTCTTTAGCCTTATCTAAATACTGTTCACTTATATGTTTCACTGTAAACACCCTGGTCCACACACCCCCTACCTTTCCTAAAGCCTCCTTGTTCATCTGCTATCCTATTCTCTGTCTTACTCTTAATTCTTTCAATAATAAACTCTACCATACACTTTACCAGGTATACTCAGCAGACTTATTCCCCCTATAATTTTTGCACTCTCTTTTATCCCCTTTGCCTTTATACAAAGGAACTATGCATGCTCTCTGCCAATCCCTAGGTACCTTACCCTCTTCCATACATTATTAAATAATTGCACCAACCACTCCAAAACTATATCCCCACCTGCTTTTAACATTTCTATCTTTATCCCATCAATCCCGGCTGCCTTACCCCCTTTCATTTTACCTACTGCCTCACGAACTTCCCCCACACTCACAACTGGCTCTTCCTCACTCCTACAAGATGTTATTCCTCCTTGCCCTATACACGAAATCACAGCTTCCCTATCTTCATTAACATTTAACAATTCCTCAAAATATTCCCTCCATCTTCCCAATACCTCCCACAATAATTAATGTAAATACAAACAATCGGTTCCAGACTAAAATATTCACAAAAAAAAATTTTTTTTTAACAATTAAATCAGTATTGCATACCTTTATTGAAAACTAATGCTGGCTTCTGGAATGCCTCGTTCACTTCCTGCATGCCTGCTGCACTTCCTGCATGCCTGCTACACTCCCTGCATGCCTGCTACACTCCCTGCATGCCTGCTACACTCCTTGCATGCCTGCTACACTCCCTGCATGCCTGCTACACATCCTGCATGCCTGTTATACTCCTTGCATGCTTGCTACACTCCTTGCATGCCTGCTACACTCCCTGCATGCCTGCTACACTCCCTGCATGCCTGTTATACAACCTGCATGCCTGTTACACTCCTTGCATGCCTGTTACACTCCTTGCATGCCTGTTACACTCCTTGCATGCCTGCTACACTCCCTGTATGCCTGCTACACTCCCTGCATGCCTGCTACACTCCCTGCATGCCTGCTACACTTCCTGCATGCCTGTTATACTCCCTGCATGCCTGTTACACTCCCTGCATGCCTGCTACACTTCCTGCATGCCTGTTATACTCCCTGCATGCCTGCTACACTCCCTGCATGCCTGTTACACTTCCTGCATGCCTGTTATACTCCCTGCATGCCTGTTACACTCCTTGCATGTCTGCTACACTCCCTGCATGCCTGCTACACTTCACGCTTAAATTCCATGGTGTTTCTCACTTTCTTTACCACAGGAACTTTACTAGGAACTTACTTTGGAGCCATGGTTACATATTTCGCAGTTGCACTAAAAAAAAAAAAAAAAAAAAAAAAAAAAAAAATGGAAAACAATCTAAATGTTTGTATATATGAGCAAAACATCCTCACACACTGAGAGACACCCAAACTGACGTGTAAGTGGCCCCAGCCGGCAGACGGATGCATCCGAAACAGCTGATCACGGGGAGCCAAAAAACTGGCTAATCACTAAGTTGGCTGATAACAGGAATGGCCAATAACCGAGGGTCCACTGTATTACCATCGTCATACCATGTTCACCGAGTTTAATAATTTCTTAAGCTCCCACAAGAGACACCGAGAATGTTAACACACAGTTGAACACACCAGTTAATCCCTTTACTGTGAACTTCTTTTCTACTTCATCCATTCTTTGTTCTTCTTCCTCTTTCTACAATAAATACAGCCTCTTCTCACTTAACGACGGAGTTTCATTCCTAAGACCACGTCGGTAAACGAATTTGTCGCTAATTGAGGAGCACACTATAATGGTAGTGGGTTTGTGTTAACCATCTCTGATATTGTTTTAATGTCACCTTTGCAGCATTTATAACATTTCTGGTATATTTTTTAAATGTTTATACAGTAGAGTACTGTATACTGCAATAAACAGAATAAAGGAAATAAGCTCTAATATACATTATTTAGGTATGTAAACTGGTCAGAGAGCCCGTCCTAAATCCAAGGCATCAGTAAACGAGTATGTCGATGAGTGAGGAGAGGCTGTATTTTTAAATGTTTATATAGTAGTGTACTGTATATTGTAATGAACAGAATAGAGAAAATCAGCTCTAATAAGTATGTATACTGGTCAGAGAGCCCGTCCTAAGTCTGAGGCATTGGTAAATGAGTACGTCACTAAATAAGGAGAGGCTGTACTTACCTCTCACCCTACATTAGGACTACAAATATTTTAAGGTAAGTAATGAGTGTACTGTATGTGTATTTTACCTTTTTATTGTTTTCTGTAACATGTAAAAGTTATGCAAATTAAAACAAAGTTATCAAACACTTGACCTACACATCCCCAACCCATTCTAAAGCCTCCTTGCTCATCTGCAATCCTGCTCTCTGTCTTACCTCTAATTCTTTCAATAATAACCCTACCATACATTTTACCTGGTATAGTCACTAAATTTATTACCCTACAATTTTTACAATCTCTTTTGTCCCCCTTCCCTTTATATAAACTATAAAGGAAGCATACATGCTCTCTGCCAATCCCTAGGTACCTTCTCCTCTATCGTACATTTCTTAAACAAAAATACCAACCACTCCAATACTATATCCCTCCCTGCTTTTAACGTTTTTGTCATGATCCTGTTAGTTTCAACTGCTTTACTCCCTTTCATTCTACGTAATGCGCCACGCACCTCCCCCACACTCACATCCTGTGTTCTTCACTTCTA